CGACAAAGTGGTATACGATGACCTCGAGAGCGAGGAGGAGGGAGGACGATGACGCCGAGGAGACCCAGGAGTGTGAGGACAACTAGGAGGATGAGACGGAGGACGACGACGATGACTCCGATTACCCGGCGGAGTTGGAAGACGACGACGAGGACGCCAGTTGCTGCACGGAAAGCAGCTTCAGGAGCCATAGTACCTACAGCAGCACTCCAGGCTGGAATGCAATGTTGCGATCTCGGCTCACTGCAGCCTCTGCCTCTCTCAGGTTCAAGAGATTCTCCTGCTTTAGCTTTCTGAGTAGCTGGGATTACAGGTCAGTTGCTCTCCCTGGAAGGAAGAATACTCTCGGATTTCACCTTGAAGGAGGAAGAGTTCAGGCTGCCGGAACTGGACTAGCGCTTCTGAATATCCCCAGGAGAGGTCCCGTGACTTCCTCAGGAAGCTCTGCCATGCCCCCACCCAACCCTACCCCACCACAGCAGACCGCTGGAGTCCTGGGACCACCCGGGTCTGCGGCCCAAATCCTCCCTCACGAAGGGGAGGGGAGGGGTATTCCGGCGAGGAGGCATGGGAAGGGGTGCTTGGGCGGGATTGTGACATCAGATTGCCATGGTGACATGGAGCAGATCTAAACCCGAGCCTAATAAAGGTGGCATAAATAAAGGTGTCATAAAGACAGGGCGGGGCGCACGCTTATAAGGGGCACGAGGGTCTTGGGGCTGCCAGAATGGCTGCAGCTTAGTGTGCGGCGCCAGCATGTGTCATGTTCAGCTGCGTTTCTGGGGCCCATGGCCCCTCCTCAGGTGGCAACTATTGTGGCTACTAGTCAAGGAGGCTCAGCCTCTGGAGTGGGTCAAGGACCCGCTCAAGCTGACCTCTAACTCTCCTGCTACCCCTGGGGCCGCCTGAGCCCTGGTCTTCCCGCTCCTCCCGTCTCCCATGGGAATCTCCCCATGTGCCTACTCCCCTGGCAGACCCGGGGGACTTTGATTACCTGGGGCCCTCTGCTTCCTGGCAGATGTCAGCCCCACCCCAGGAATCGACTGAAAATGTGGTGCCATACCTGGACACGGATTCAGCTGGAGAGCTGCTCCTGGGGTCAGAGCAGTTCTCCGCTGCACACCAGGATTTAAATGACAAGCTGACTCCGCAAGAAAGGCTCCCAGAGGTGGTTCCAATGCTGAACGGGGATCAGAACCAGACCCTAGTTCAGCCTCCTCCCCTCAAAAGTAAGTTTCAAACTGCAGATCTTGATCGGGCTGCAGGTCATCAGGCAGATGAAATACTTGTTCCACTAGACAGTAAGGTTTCAAAACCAACCAAATTTATTGTTTTGCCCAAGAACCTGAAGAAAGATCTAGCTCAGTGTTGGAGCCTTGCTAAGATTGTTGGAATTCCACACCAATTATCCAAACTTCAGCATCAGAAACAGATTTTGCAGGCTGAATACTGGAGTATAGACACACTGTATCCCGGCAGCTGCCTCCAGAACTCGGGGTTAACTTGGATGAGCCCCCAGGGCTCCCTGAGCAAGTTGGACTTTCTCAATTCCATCTAGAGTCTGAAACTCAAAATCCAGAGACCCTTGAAGACATCCAGTCCTCTTCACTCCAGCAAGAAGCCCCAGCCCAGCTTCCACAGCTCCCTGAGGAGGAAGAACCTTCTTCAACCCAGCAGGGGGCCCCCAGCTGGGCCTCCAGAGTACTCTATGGAGAGTCAAGCTCAAACTCTACCGAATCATGAGGTGACAGTTCAACCTCCAGGTGAGGATCAAGCTCATTATAACTTGCCCAACATTACAGTTAAACCTGCAGATGTGGAGGTTACCATAACTTCAGAACCTACCAATGAGACAGAATCTTCCCAAGCCCAGCTGGAGGCCCCAATTCAGCTTCCAGAGGAGGTGGAACATTCTGCGACCCAACAGGAGGCCCCAACTGAGCCTCCAGGTCCCCCTGTGGAGCGTGAACTTTCCATCAGTGAGCAGGAGCAGCCAGCTCAGCCTTCTGAGTCTTCTGGGGAGGTTGAATCTTCTCAGACCCAGCAGGAGACCTCAGCTTAGCCTCCAGAAGGGATGGAACCTTCTGCAAACCAAGAGGAAGCCCCAACTGAACCTCCAGGTCCTCCTATAGAGCCTGAACTTTCCCCCAGTGGGCAGGAGCAGCCAGCTCAGCCTTCTGAGTCTTCTGGGTAAGTTGAATCTTCTCAGACCCAGCAGGAGACCCAGCTCAGCCTCCAGAACATCATGAAGTCACAGTTTCGATTCCAGGTCACCATGAAACTCAGCATTCAGATTTGCCCAATGTCTCTGTTAAGCCTCCAGACATGCAGCTCACCATGGGAACAGAGCCTAGTGCAGAGGTGGGAACTTCTACAGTCCACCAGGAGGCTACAGCTCAGCTCTCAGGGCCAGGTAATGATGTAGAACCTCCTGTTATCCAGCATGGGGGCCCACCTCTGCCTCCAGAGTCATTGGAAGAGGCTTTACCTTTAGCAATTCAACAAGAGACTTCAGTTCAATTTCCAGAACCTATTAATAATGCAAATCCCTCTCCAACCCAGCAGAAGGATGCAGCTGAGCATCCACAGACTGCTGAGGAGGGTCCAGCTCAGACTCCAGAGCTCCCTAATGTAGTTGTAGCCCAACCTCCAGAGCATTCAAACCTGACTCAAGCCACAGTTCAACCTTTGGACCTAGGGCTTACCATCACTCCAGAATCCACAACAGAGGTTGAACTTTCTCCTACCATGCAGGAGACCCCAACTCAGCCTCCTAAAATAGTTGTACCCCAACTTCCAGTATATCAAGAGGTAACAATTCCAACACCAGGTCAGGATCAAGCTCAGCATCCAATGTCACCCAGCGTTACAGTTCAACCTTTGGACCTGGGACTTACCATCACTCCAGAACCCACTACGGAGGTTGGACATTCTACACCCCTGAAGAAGACTCTAGTTTCTCCAAAGCACCCTAAGGTGACACTTCCACATCCAGACCAGGTTCAGACTCAGCATTCAAACCTGACTCAAGCCACAGTTCCACCTTTGGATCTGGGGCTTACCATCACTCCAGAATCCATGACAGACTTTGAACCTTCTACAGCCCTGACGACTACAGCTCCTCCTCCAAAACACCTGAGGCGACACTTCCACCTTCAGACAAGGGTCAGGCTCAGCATTCACACCTGACTTAAGTCACAGTTCCACCTCTGGACCTGGAGCTTACCATAACTACAGAACCTACTGCAGAGGTTAAACTGCCTCCAACCATGGAGAAGACCTCAACTCAGCCTCCAGACCTGGGGCTTGCCATCACTCCAGAGCCCACTACAGAGATTGGACATTCTATAGCCCTGGAGAAGACTACAGTTCCTCGTCCAGACCAGGTTCAGACTCTGCATCGAAAACTGACTGAAGTCACAGGTCCACCTACTGAACTAGAACCTACTCAGGATTCATTGGTTCAGTCTGAAAGTTATGCCCAAAATAAGGCTTTAACTGCACCAGAGGAACAGAAGGCCTCCACAAGCACCAACATATGTGAGCTCTGTACCTGTGGAGATGAGACGCTGTCGTGTATTGATCTCAGCCCGAAACAGAGGCTCCGCCAAATGCCTGTGCCAGAGCCCAACACCTACAATGGCACCTTCACCATCTTAAATTTCCAAGGAAATGATATTTCTTACATTGATGGAAATGTATGGAAAGCATACAAGAAATTAATTGTCAATGAAAATTATTTGATTGAATTACATAAGGATTCATTGAAGGCCTGCTATCCCTCCAGTATTTAGATTTATCCTGCAATAAAATACAGTCTATTGAAAGACATACATTTGAACCACTACCATTTTTGCAGTTTATAAATCTTGGTTGCAATTTACTTACAGAACTGAGCTTTGGAACATTTCAGGCCTGGCACGGAATGCAGTTTTTACACAAGTTAATTCTCAATCGCAATCCTCTGACAACTGTTGAAGATCCATATCTCTTTAAACTGCCAGCATTAAAATATCTAGACATGGGAACAACACATGTCCCATTTACAACAATTAAGAACATTCTCATGATGACTGGAGAAACTGATCTTACCTAGCCATGTGGTCTGCTGCCTCTGCCAATTTAAAAATAGCATTAAGGCTCTCTGCAAGACAGTCAAGCTGCACTGCAACAGTGCATGTCTGACAAACACCATACATTGTCCTGAAGAAGCATCTGTAGGGAATCCAGAAGGAACGTTCATGAAGGTGTTACAAGCCCCGAAGAAGCACACGAGCACTGAGCTAACTATTGAGCTGGAGACGGCCTCAGACAGCAATGGCATCAACTTGTCAGTCTTTGGGAGTGGACAGCTAGACACCAATGACGTGAGGGATGTTATCAGTGCACTAAGTTACATCTTGCCTTATTTCTGAGCGGTAAATCTAGATGTGAAATCAATGTTGTTACCGTTCATTAAACTGCTTTCTTCAAATGTGCAAGATGGAGATAGGCCCCTGGGTATTTTGAAAAACAATACAAAGAGCCCCTCTCTTCAACCTGTATCCAACAACTCAACTTATGAAAATAAATTGAGAAAGCTGTATTTGCTGGAAAATATGTTAGATGCAGAAATACAAGAAAAAATCGATGTAGTTAAAAGGGAAGAAAAAACTGCCATGCTTATGCAGTCCAGCTTTCTAGGACAATTTTAAATGCCAAATATTTGAAAAGAAATTAGAAACTATCCAGCTACAGGAAAACAGCCTGGCAAAGATTCAAAGCATAGGCAAAAACCTGCAGAGAGTGAACAGACTCCTCATGGGCCCAAAGAGCATCCAGAAAAGGCACTTCGAAGAGGTGGGAAAGCAGAGCATCAGGAGGGAAGATGGGCCCAGACATTTGCAGAGAACACTGCCAAAGAAAAAAGGCTCGGGAGTCCAACCCAAGGGAGCTGAAACAGCCTCACATAGAGCAGGGGTCTGAGAAGTTAGTGGGAAACACCGACTACACCAAGCCTTCGTTCACCCAAGAGCAGTCTCCTTTATGTTGAAACTGTTCTCCATGGGCGTGCCTTCTGCCTCCACCTCTGCAAAAGCCCTACCTCAGGTCAGAGACAGATCGAAAGACTTAATCTACACCATTTTCATTTTAGAAAATGCAAAGGCTAGAGTTAAAAATATGAAGACTGCTAAACCAATCGTACATTCCAGAAAAAAATACCACTTTCATAAAACTCGCTCCCGCATGGCTCACAGAACACCCAAGGCCAAAAAAGAGTCCAAACTTCAGAAAGAAAAGTTATCTCGATAGACTGAGGCTCACAAAGAGGCCTCCGTTCTCTGCAGCGAAGAGCCTATGCATTTCCCTTCACAGGGGGCTTTTTCATCTTTAGGAGACCCAAGCCCTCAGGAAAATCCTCTTCCGGAAGTATTTGCTCCTTCAGAACGTTTTATAGAAAACACTAATGTAAAAAACACAACTGCAAGAAATGCCTTTGAAGAAAACATTTTTATGGAAAACACTAGTATGCCAGAAGGCACCATCTCTGAAAACACAAACTACAATCCTCCTCCTGAGACAGATTCTGCTGGGACTGCGTTCAACTTAGGGCCAACTATTACACAAACTGAGACAAAATGGGAATACAACAATGTGGGCACCGACCTGTCCCCCGAGCCCCAAAGCTTCAATTACTCATTGCTCTCATCTCCAGGTGATCAGTTTGAAATTCAGCTAACCCAGCAGCTGCGGTCCCTCATCCCCAACAACAATGTGCGCAGGCTCATTTCTCATGTTATCCGGACCTTGAAGATGGACTGCTCTGAGACCCACGTGCAATTGACCTGTGCCAAGTTCATCTCCAGGACAGGCCTCCTGATGAAGCTTCTCAGTGAGCAGCAAGAAGTAAAGGTGTCCAAGGCAGAATGGATACGGACCAGTGGAAAACTGAGAACTGTATCAACGAGAGCGCGGAAGCCCAGAATGAACAGAAACAGCAAAAGTCGAGTGAGCTCACAATAGAAGTTCCAGGATATGGCTATAACGACAAACTCATCTTGGCAATATTTGTGACTGAAATACTAACGACTTTAATTCTAGTTTTCTGCCTCATTGAGATTTATTCTCACCGAAGGTCATCACAAGAAGATGAAGGATTCTCAAGGGGCATTTTCAGATTTCTGCCATAGAGGAGATGCTGTTCGCGAAGTGAGACTCAGGTTGGATCTTTCTCACTCAGACAGCCGCTCTGGCTTAAAGATATGTACAAACCTCTCAATGCCACAAGAATAAATACCAGGCATGGAAGCTGCACAAGAAGTCATCTAATGAGGACTAGATCCTCAACAGGGACCCTAGGGACAGCGAAGCCCCAACAAAGAAGGGGGAGGAGAGTGAAGCCCTGCCATAGGAGGAGAACCCAGAGTGACCCCAGTCCGCCTCAGGCCTCCTGCAAAAATACGTAGCATAAACAACAAGGGCCATCAGAAAGAAAAGCGGGACTGAAGCCAGCAGCCCACACGTCCACAGGGGCAGCGGGCAGAGGAAGCACAGGGCCATCATTCCCTCCCTTGTTTCCCAGTATAATTAGTCACCCAGACCTGAAAACATATCCTCAGGGGGTGGAGATTTTACAATACCATTGTTCTTGGTGGAAAAAAAAATCATTAGTTTATTATATATTGTGCACTGACAGTGATACAGTAGACTTCTTGATCATCTTGAGAAGTCTACAAGACACTAGAAGAATAATCTACTTGTTCAGTTATCTTAACTTTCAATGTATCTGTTTTGTCTTTTTGTCTTAATTTTATGCATAGAACTGCAGTGATTCTAACTAAAGTGAATAATAATTCAAGAAGCTTAGGCTCTATTAAAAACACACAGTCATGAATTCTCTATTTAACATGCCTCAATATAGGAATTTAGTCAAAAGTAAATATTTTCCACCTTTCCTGTGGTTCTGCCATTTCCAAATTCTTCCTCGTAAGTGCTCTCAATTTTGTTGTGTTGCTGTTTTTAGAAAAAATTATCACCACAGCCCTGTTTAAACTTAGGTAATGGCTCCCTAAAGCTCCCATGTTAACGTCTGAATTTCTGACATGATGCCTCCAATTTCACTCCAAATTCTTTTCTTTTTTTTTTGAGACGGAGTCTCGCTCTGTCACCCAGGCTAGAGTGCAGTGGCGCGATCTCGGCTTACTGCAAACTCCGCCTCCCGGGTTCACGCCATTCTCCTGCCTCAGCCTCCCAAATAGCTGGACTACAGGCACCCACCACTAAGCCCAGCTAATTTCTTTTTGTATTTTTAGTAGAGATGGGGTTTCACCGTGTTAGCCAGGATGGTCTCGATCTCCTGACCTTGTGATCCGCCGGCCTCGGCCTCCCAAAGTGCTGGGATTACAGGCTTGAGCCACCGCGCCCGGCCCAAATTCTTATCTCACTAATTTTTGTCATACATTTTATGTTCCTTCCAAATCCTCTTTATCTCCCAAAACTCAGTTCCTCCTCTGCCTTTGCATGTGGTCTATATGGAATGCCCAACTTTTTTTTGGATAGTGATAGGCCTTGCTCTACTGGCCAGGCTGGAGTGCAGTGGTGTGATCATAACTCACTGTAACCTCAAACTCCTGGCAAGCGATCCTCCTGCCTTGGCCTCCCAAAGTGCTCTGATTACAGATGTGAGACACTGCGCCCAGCCCACCTCTTTCCCACAGAATGTATCCTCCTTGTTCCTCAAGGTCAGTAAATATGCTTCCTCCTCTCTAGTCTTTTCTGGTTTTCTCCAGAAGCCAGGATCAGGAGTCACTATACCTCCTCTGTTTTCTCCAAGCATCTTATTAATAGATCTTTCATAGAATTCATTGCACTGTATGATATGCATTCAATTATATTGTATTATAGTGTTATATTACTGCATCTTTTTCTCCATAATGTAAATTTCTTAAGGATAATTTCCTTTATTCATTTTATGTCCAACATTATATTTCTTGTCATGTAATAAGCAATAAAATTTTGGTGACTTGAATGATGTGAGAAAACAAGAAGAAAAAACAGACTTGAGGAATACACAGGTGTATGCCTTATTTTTCATTCTGCATAACCTCTGCCTGTATTTTATTGATAACCTTGGCCTTGAATATGTCTCAGATTTCGGAGTAGGGTGTAGCAAATTAATCATCGAATTGCTTGTTTATACCATTCAATTTGATCATCACAATTTAGGTCTCTAGCAAGAAGAAAAAGAAGACTTTCACATAGGTGACAAATAGGATACAAATAGGATTTGTTAATAATAGGAATCTGTTAAAAACAAGGTAATTTTTATTGTTTTGTGATAATAACAAAGTAAAAGAAATTGTGTTCCTAGGGTTTACTTATAAATTAAACACACTATTACCACTTTATTTTCCAATTTCATCTCTTTAAGAAAAAAAAAGTATTACTTTAAAATGATCTATGAGTACAATTTTATATGGAAAGGGCAATAACTACTTTCAATGCAAATAGAAGTTTATCATTGCAAGGGCAGCTGTAAAAAAGACTTTTAATTCACAACAGGGTGTGTGACATAGGCCTGTAATACGGGGCCAATGTCTCTAAGAAGTTGAAAATACAGTATTACAAAATCAGAAAACAAGCAACAAAACAAAAGTGTCTGTCTTCTCTTCTTTGTCCAATATGTTTGGGTGTTAGTATTGAAGGAGATCTATAACAAGTGCAAATGATGTGTGAAATGAATCAGCTCTGCCCAGCATATACACAGAGACTATAAAGCTACTTATGTAAATATAGCTCTGCAGTGTTAATTGCTGCAGGACTTAGACAGGTATGGCAGAAAGATGGCCTGATTTAGATGACCTAGACACTGATGTCACACTAAACTCTCGGAATTGGCTTCTTGGCTTTCCTCCCTGACAAGTGACTGAAATGGGGGTAGGGTTGAATTTTATGAAGATGTGACACCCCACCACACACACACAATTATTGTATTTCCTTCTTCCTGCCTGTGTTATGGCCTGCTAATGATATACTTTACTTGAATGAACTCATGTGCTCCAAATTTCCTATGGGATAGGGATTGATAATATTCACCATTTTAAGGAAATTACGGCTTGAAAAAACTAAATAATGTGGCAAGAAAGCTAGTAAGTTGCAAAGTCAGGAATGGTCCCAGGATTCTGTCTCTGGAGACTGCCCCTTCCACCCCATCACACATGGCCGCTGATCATCGAGACAGGTTTCCATGATGCACAGGATGGTGGGTGCAGTGGGGAGACAAGACATGTTTACTACACTCACATCTGTCATTTACCAGCAAATCAACCATGGAAAGCACCAGGGTTCTTAAATAAATGACCCCTGCTGGGACTCACCTTAGATAGCGGATATGTTCCAAGCAGCCTTGGCTCACACCCAGGCTTGGGGCCCCTGTGGAGACTGCGCATCTGCTCATTTGATGTAGCAGAGCCTCCCAGCATATGCAGTGGGCATGGCCTGCAGAGCGCATTTTTCTCATTCCACAGAGCGTCGATTTTAAGACAGATCACCCTGAATTGCCCTTAAAGCTGAGGACAACCTGTCCATCCACTCACACATCACATAAGAGACAGAAACTTCATTCTCTCTCACTCTCTGTGGGTGTGTGAAGACATTTCCGTTCCCTCTCTCCCCCGCCAAGGGACCTGCTCAGCACTTTCCTGTTTGCTTTTTCCTCCTGGGCAGTGCCCGTCCTCCTTGCCTGATTCAGATCCTTCCCTCCTACTGCTGTCCAAAATTTATTGCTCAGCTAAGTATCAAAAAAGAGGAAATACAAAAATACTGAAGGCTACTACGTGCTAGGTAATTTCACATTCTTTATTGGAGAAAACCAAATTTTTCAGAGCTTGTTTCTTGACGGTGTCACACCGTGAACTAACGGCAAATCCAAACCGGACTTTGGGCCAAGATAACCCCAAACCCGCTCATTTTCCTCAATCCCATCAGAGAACACCCTAAAGAAGGCGATTTATTTTTAAACAACTGAAACATCTATAGGTCACATTTATTATTTCCCATTAAAAATGAAAAGGATTCTATTAAATCCAATAAGGGAGAAATAAATATTTCTTCAATTTAGGTTTTTTCCTTTTATGGAATAAAATAATACGCGTTAGGTGTCACTGCTTTTTAGCCACTCATACATTACCATTTGGAATTATTTAGTATTTACAACCCCAAGTTGGTTCTCTAATCTATTTCTCATCTTTGTGTGGTAATTTTACAAAATGTCCTCTTCATTTTTGAAGACAAAGAAACGTGAAACGTTCACGATCAAATGATTCCCCGTGTTGTATTAGATGAACCCGAAGCAAAGCCTCCGGAGGGCGCTGGAGAGGCCGCAATTCCAGACACCGCCGCAGTCTGGAGACACCACTGAGCGACTGTCCGCTAAGCTAGAAGCGGATGTGGCATTTCGAAGTAGCACGAAATGCAACCGGCTAGGAAAGAGGACTTTCCGTCGCACGGCGGCTGCGTCGCCTGGACAGAGACGCCGAACCGGAAGAGCTAGCAGGAACACCGCCCGCCGCTGGGAGGTATCCGGAAGCGCGGCAGAGCGGGGGACTACATTTCCCATAAGCCCGCGGGGCAGGGCGAGGGGCGGGCGTCGGGAACATTACCGGACAGGCCTTGCCCGGCAATACCAAGGTAAATGCCGGCGCCGCGGCTCCGAGGGAAGAGTAACTTACGATCTGCGCCTAGATTTTTACTAGTAACCCTCCTAACCCATCCCCGAACTGACAAAAACGACTCTTCCATCCCGGAGACTTTGAGATTTCCGGGCCCCAGGACTCCACCCCTCACAACCTAGTCAGTCCCCCCACCAACAATGGGCCTGGGGCACTTCCCAAATGCCTAAGGACGCTGGGGGTTGCGCTAGTAAGTTGAAGGCCCAGAGTACCCCCTATCTAGGATTGACGACCCATACTGTTATTGGCCCCTCCCTCCACGCCCAGTATCCTATTTTTAATTTTTTTTTTTTAAATTATTAGTTTCTTAAATAGAGCCAGGGTCTCGCCATATTGCCCAGGCTCGTCTTGAACTCCTGGCCTCAAGCGATCCTCCCCACTCGGCCTCTCAAAGTGTCGAGATTACAGGCGTGAGCCACTGTGCCCGGCGGTCCCCAAGCCCAGTTTCCTATTAAATCCGGCGGGAGGTGCCTGGCTCCCTGGGGCTGGGTGGAAAGGGTAGTAGAGGTAGTAGAGGGGAAGTTGCCCTCCGTCCCAGCCCAGTTTAGGAGCCGACGACCTCCCTTCTCCTTAGGCTGCTCCTCGGACGTTCTTGGCTCAGGGCGGCGAAAACTGTCGAAGACCTGCGGGCCAAGGACTGCTGAGCACCTCCATCCAAGGTCCCCAATGCTTTTCTCCATCTACCCTTTAGAGTGGTGTCACGATTGCCACTGGAGAGGGGAAGTGACTTGCTCTAGGTCACATAATTTAAATGGCAGTACTGGAGTTTCGCACAGAACCTGTCTCGACTTAAAGCCCTTTGCTTAGGCCCCATTACCTTCCTCAAACCTTAATTTAGGAGAGTGCAGGCGCTGGGGACCGCAGAGTCATTTTTGTTGCCCAGCGGTGCCGTCGAGTGCAGCTTTGGGCCCAGGCGCA